ACGCGATCTCAGATCTAGTGTTGTTCGTGGACCGCCTGGTACGGCCCGTGCCAGTGGTGGAGCCGCTAGCCTAGCACCCGGTCCAGCCCCCTTCCGAGCCCTCAACCACCGTGGATGAAGCTGTTGTGGGACCGTCCGGCTCCGCTTCGAAGGCCGAGGATGGCAGCGTCAATGAGGATGAAGGCTGGGTTCTACCGATTGAAAAGGAGAGTTCTTTGTACTGGGAAATGGGGGAGAAGGAAGGATGCTGGGAAATGGGGGCCGAGGATGGCAGCGATTTTCTTTCATTTTTTTCCATTTGTTATGCTGGATTTATCTGTTCATTGATGTATCCTACTCTGATTTGTGGTTTTATCTGCTCTGTGATGTATCTTATTCTGATTTTTGGAGTTGGTTTGTGTTTTGGAATTATAACTGAAAATGCTTGAGTTCGAATTCTTCATTGAGACATGCTCCTGTGTTAAAGGATTGAGGAAAAGACCCAGAAAATGGTTCTGCAGTTTTCTGAAATTTTTTTTTATTAAATTTTTTAAGATACTAACTCGGTTCAAAAGATAACCGAGGCAAAAATAGATCCTTTTTTGACCCGGTTTAGAACCGAGGCATTAAACGTATTCTTTTTACCTCGCCTCTATATGCACCGGTTGTAAAACCGGTGCGTATAAACGAAACTAACCGATGCCATTTCTGTGTATTGCACTAGTGTTCATTCCTATGATATATTTTCCATGAGGGCAGTTTACGAGAGATTTTAGACTGTGAAAAACTATGAAAATAATAGTTGAAAGAAGTGTATTTTGTAGTTGTCTTAATTATGGTAGATATTGTCTTACATCAAATGGTAGAGTACACGAATATTTATAGACCCATAGATTATTCTAAAATATACTAGCCATAATTTATATTGAATGTCCTAGTTTTTTACCTATAGAATGTTCTTGATTTTTTCTTTCTATATTAGATTTTTCTACAATATTTTAGAACATTGATTACAATTTAGTACTTCTATCTTAGGATTTTCTATATTTTTCTTGAATTTTTTCATTATATTTTAACAGTGTCTATTTCCTTATTCGTATATTTATCCATATATGGACTTCATAGCTACTTACACTTGTTCCCACATCTTCATTTGTGTATGCATGAAACAGAATTTCGATGCAGTAATTGATGTAAGCATAATTTCATATCGATATCAGTACGCAGATTTCACTCAGCCATACACTGATCCAGGAGTGGTGATGGTAGTTCCCCTTAAATCAAAAGTGGATCATAGAGCTTGGTTATTTATGAAACCTTTTACGAAGACTATGTGGGTTCTAATACTGGCCATGGTTATCTACAATGGCTTCATTCTTTGGATGTTGGAAAGACGCCACAGTCCTGAAATTACAGGTTCCATGCTGAATCAAACTGGGACCATGGCTTGGTTGGGATTAACCCCTCTAATGAAGTTAGATGGTAATTTTAATTTAAGATTCTATGTTCTTGTATGCCATCATTTATCTCATTGTTGAATACTTAGTTAATTCTAATTCGGCTCATTTGACTGAACATAGGAGACAAGCTACATAGCAATTTATCAAAGATAGTTATGGTGGTTTGGTTGTTTGTGGCACTTATCATAACACAGACTTACACAGCTAACCTTGCCAGCATGCTAACTGCTGAACGGCTTGAACCAACTGTAGATAATATTGATCGGCTACGGAATAGCTACATCAGGGTTGGATACAGTTCAGGATCCTTTGTGAGACATTATGTGGAGACAGTGTTGAAGTTCCACCCTGAAAACATGAGGAACTATGGAGAACTTGAAGAATATGCTGAAGCTTTCAGAAGAAAAGAAATAGGAGTTGCCTTTCTGGAAGTTCCTGCAGCCAAAATTTTCCTAGCAAAGTACTGTAAAGAGTTTATTCAAGCCGGGCCTTTGTACAAAGTTGGAGGAGTTGGATTTGTATGTGATGCAACATATTCTCACAACTTTTATTTATGCACCTTCTAAGGATATACTTTCTAATAGATTCTTTTAAAATATATTATTTATTGGCGAAACACTTTTCATTGACAAGTTTCAGTCATGATTTTATAGTTCCTGATGATAAAGTTTAACCAAGTGTTTTACTAGTCTCTTTCTTTGGTTAAGGAAGCTTGTTTAACTCTTTCTGTGACTCTTTCTTTGGTTATGGAAGCTTGTTTAACTATTTGTGTGTTGCGTGTGTTAGGCATTTCCAAGGGGGTCTCCATTGATTCCTCACGTAAACAAAGCACTTCTAGATTTAGTAGAAACCGGCAAGGTAAGTGAATTAGAGAACAAAATGCTTGGATCAGAGGAATGTGAAGACACAAAAGTAAATGGAGAAACTGCAAGTCTTAGCCCAAATAGCTTCTGGGTCCTCTTCATATTGACAGGAGGCACATCAACATTTTCTCTCTTGGTTTATGTTTTCTGTATGAATTATGCAAACAGTGAAGAGAAAACAATCTGGGGATTAACCACAATGATCATTCAACAATGTAACCATGCAAAGAGAAGAATGTCAGGAAAAGTAAGTGATGTTGCAGAAAGCCCTACGACCTCTTCAACCACACATGTTACACTAACTCAAGTTTAAACATGTCAAAGGTTGTACTTGCTTGAGGAGTGGAAAGTGTTGTTATAGAACTGCCAGTTACATAAAATTACTAAGTATAAGTTATAACGTACTGCTAACAATGTAACTGATGCAAAGGAAAAATGTTGTTGTAAATATCACTGTACAGTTCTTGTATTAATAAACAAAATTTAAGTTAATAAAACTGAATTTGTTTATTATGTTTCGCCCTTAATTAGCAGCACTCCTTCATAACTTTGACTGATTTGTTTGGAAATTTCGTTCAGTCCAAGAATATATATTTTGCGGCAATGCACAACAAGCTCTTGAAATTTTCTGAAATTGTGTAATTAGATTAAGCCACAATGAATTTTCAGCTTTATTTCAAGTACCTGCATATCTTTCTGTAGTGAGTGATTATTGTTGGATGCATTAGTTCACACTATTATAACTCTATCTTATGAAAAATTAGTATAAANTGAAGCTGTTGTGGGACCGTCCAGCTCCGCTTCGAAGGCCGAGGATGGCAGGGTCAATGAGGATGAAGGCTGGGTTCTACCGATTGAAAAGGAGAGTTCTTTGTACTGGGAAATGGGGGAGAAGGAAGGATGCTGGGAAATGGGGGCCGAGGATGGCAGCGATTTTCTTTCATTTTTTTCCATTTGTTATGCTGGATTTATCTGTTCATTGATGTATCCTACTCTGATTTGTGGTTTTATCTGCTCTGTGATGTATCTTATTCTGATTTTTGGAGTTGGTTTGTGTTTTGGAATTATAACTGAAAATGCTTGAGTTCGAATTCTTCATTGAGACATGCTCCTGTGTTAAAGGATTGAGGAAAAGACCCAGAAAATGGTTCTGCAGTTTTCTGAAATTTTTTTTTATTAAATTTTTTAAGATACTAACTCGGTTCAAAAGATAACCGAGGCAAAAATAGATCCTTTTTTGACCCGGTCTAGAACCGAGGCATTAAACGTATTCTTTTTACCTCGCCTCTATATGCACCGGTTGTAAAACCGGTGCGTATAAACGAAACTAACCGATGCCATTTCTGTGTATTGCACTAGTGTTCATTCCTATGATATATTTTCCATGAGGGCAGTTTACGAGAGATTTTAGACTGTGAAAAACTATGAAAATAATAGTTGAAAGAAGTGTATTTTGTAGTTGTCTTAATTATGGTAGATATTGTCTTACATCAAATGGTAGAGTACACGAATATTTATAGACCCATAGATTATTCTAAAATATACTAGCCATAATTTATATTGAATGTCCTAGTTTTTTACCTATAGAATGTTCTTGATTTTTTCTTTCTATATTAGATTTTTCTACAATATTTTAGAACATTGATTACAATTTAGTACTTCTATCTTAGGATTTTCTATATTTTTCTTGAATTTTTTCATTATATTTTAACAGTGTCTATTTCCTTATTCGTATATTTATCCATATATGGACTTCATAGCTACTTACACTTGTTCCCACATCTTCATTTGTGTATGCATGAAACAGAATTTCGATGCAGTAATTGATGTAAGCATAATTTCATATCGATATCAGTACGCAGATTTCACTCAGCCATACACTGATCCAGGAGTGGTGATGGTAGTTCCCCTTAAATCAAATGTGGATCATAGAGTTTGGTTATTTATGAAACCTTTTACTAATACTATGTGGTTTTTAATACTGGCCATGGTTATCTACAATGGCTTCATTCTTTGGATGTTGGAAAGACGCCACAGTCCTGAAATTACAGGTTCCATGCTGAATCAAACTGGGACCATGGCTTGGTTGGTATTTACCCCTCTAATTAAGTTAGATGGTAATTTTAATTTAAGATTCTATGTTCTTGTATGCTATCATTTATTTCATTGTTTAATACTTAGTTAATTCTAATTTGGTTCATTTTACTGAACATAGGAGACAAGCTACATAGCAATTTATCAAAGATTGTTATGGTGGTTTGGTTGTTTGTGGCACTTATCATAACACAGACTTACACAGCTAACCTTGCCAGCATGCTAACTGCTGAACGGCTTGAACCAACTACAGCGGAAGA